AAGAAGAGACTGGACAGCCATTTGTCTGAAATAGTATAGGTTTCCTGCCTGAGCAGAGGGTTGGACTAGATGACCTCCAAGGTTCCTTCCAACTACTACTACTATTATTATTATTATTATACTTCTTTACAGAAAAAAAATTCACTGAAAATGAGATAGAAAATGTTAAATGATTTTGTTAATGAAAATGAGTGATAAATCCTGAGGACAGATAATCTAGTAGCAAAAGGGGTTCTTATAATAATTATAATTATAGTAAACTAATGGGATCATGAAATAGACATAGTGATAGAAAATGAAGAAGCTAAAGTGCTTTGGGACTTTAGAATTCAAAGGCTGCTGCATAACACCCCACACTTGACAATTATTGATGAGAAATACCCAAAAAAGTGGACATGGCACTACCTGGAAACAACGGAATAAAAGAGATAGAACTGAAGAAAATCACAAAATACAAAGATTTGCAAATAGAAGTAGAATGACTGTGGCAAAAGAAAGCAAAGGTAGCACCAATAATAATGCACGCCTTGGGTGTAGTCCCAAACCATCTGGAGCACCTCTAAAACAGCATCGGCACTGACAAAACCACTATCAGACAATTGGAAAAGGCAGCTTTACTTGGAACAGCTTACATCCTACAATACCTTTAGCACCATCAAACCACTGTCTATCCTTGGGAAGGACTCAATAGATAGACAAAAATACCAAATTCAATCTAAACATCTAGTTGACTGTGGGACCAACCATAATAATTCACCATATCAAATATTGCTAGTTATATTATGTTGAGGTTGTCTGGGGAAATATTTCCGAGGCCCTGAAATACATTGTCTGTGCTGGAGGAGCTGCCGGTCTCTGAGACTGCAAAGAGGAGGGTGGATTCACTTACTTCTTCAAAATGCTTCCAATGTCCTAAAAAAGAGAGACGGAAAAATGAAATGAACCATTTCTATGCAGTTACATTCTTAAAATTCATAAATGTGTGAAACCAGATACAAACTGACATAATTAAAAAGTACTTTCTTTTTTCTTAAAAAAAACCATTGCTTTTTTTCCCCCAGCCGCTCACCTTTTTTAAAGCAGTTTATTTTTACTTCCTTGTGTTACAAAAATTATACCCCGGTTGAATAATAATAATAATAATAATAATAATAATAATAATAATAATAATAATAATAATAATAATAATAATAATAATAATAATAATAAATAATAATACAAAGAAGAATAAAGTTGGAACGGACCTTGGAGGTCATCTAGTCCAACTCCCTTGCTCAGGCAGGAAACCCTATACCATTTCGGACAAATGGCTGTCCAGTCTCTTCTTAAAAACTTCCAGTGTTGGAGCATTCACAGCTTCTGGAGGCAGGTTGTTCCACTGGTTAACTGAATTCCACACAAGTGTTGGGGTTTCCCTTGCCCTGGAGATTCAGGGGAGGAGGAGACCCCACAGAGAACACCCACCAACATGTCGATAGGAACCCTAATCAGGCATTCTTAAAATGGTGAAGAATAAAGGGACAGTGACCAGCACTTTCAATTCTTGCTTTTCGCATGGACTGCTTTTTCTGAATTGTGTATCCCTAATATTAGCCATTACAGGTAGTCCTTGACTTTCAACAGTTCATTTAGTGACCCTTTTCTCAGTTAAAACAGCACTGAAAAAAGTGACACATGGCCATTTTCCAGTTACCAACGTTACAGCATCCCCATGATTGTGTGATCAAAATTCAGCTGCTTGGCAACTGACTCATATTTATGATGGGTGCATTGTCCTGGGGTCACATAATCATGCATTCAGGATCACGAGTGCAGCCAGAATCCTACAAGCACAGAAATGGAAAGATATCGAGAGCATCCTGTTATAGTGCATTACTGTCTGGTTTGGAAGCATCACTGCTCCAGCCAGGAAGGCGATGCAGAGAGTGGCGAGGATGGCAGAAAAGATTATTGGCAGTTCCCTCCCTTCTATCCAGGACATGATGGCATAAAAGCATTGCTTGAGCAGGGCCCGCAAGATTATCTGGGACACAACACATCCTCTTCATGACCTGTTTTCCCTGTTATCTTCTGGGAGGAGGCTCCGTGGTATCCGAAGCAGAACATCCAGATTCAGTCACAATTTTTTTCCATACGATATCAACCGTGTGAACTTTCAAGCTTCCTCTTTCCGCTATGTATTCAAGATGGACAGTGACTAATATTTATGTGTAAGGGTGGTAGGTATATACATATGTATGTATATAGCATGTTTATATAATATGTGTTATGTGTATACTTTTGAGAACAGGCAGCAGAATTTCATTTTTTATGTATACCAGTGTGCCCACAGTAAAAATAATGACAATAAAGGTTATCTTATCTTATCTATATATCAATCTCCACAACAGAAGAATGGATGGAGAAAATGATGAAGCTAGAAAAAAATGACAGAATTGCTTTAATTAGAGAAATATATATATATATTAGTTTCTACTTGGAAACTGCTTCTGGACTTTGTGCTTGATTGTGCTTATTAGACTTTGTTTTTATAGACAGGCTAATAATGTAATTACTAAACATGTAAAAGTAAAAAGTTGAAATTGTAATTTTATTTTGTATTTTACGGCATTGAAAAAAGTTGGAAGGCAATGCTTTCCCCTTTATCCTGTGTGAGGCTAAAGCAGTCTACTCCACTTCATCATTGGTACACCAGGATACAAAAAAGATGCTGAGGCCCTAGAAAGCATGCAGAGAGGAGCAACAGAGATGATAAGGGCTCTGGAAGCCAAACCGTACAATGAATGGCTAAGGGAACTTGGTATGCTTCGCTTAAGAAAGAGAGGGTTTAGGGGAGATAGGACAGCCATCTTCCAATACTTGAAAGACTGTCATAGGGGAAAGGGCATCAATTTACTCTCTGTAGCACCTGAGGGCAGGACAAGAAGCAAGGGGTGGAAGCTCATCAGAATGAAATCCAACCTAGAAATAAGGAAGAATTTCCTGACAGTGAGAACAATTAATCATTGGAACAGCCTGCCTCCCCAAGTTCTGGCTGCTCCATCACTGGAGGCTTCCAATAATAGATTGCCCAACCATTTATTTGGGACAGTATAAGGACTCCTGCCTTGGCTAGAGGATTGGACTAGAAGACCTCCAAGGTCCCTTCCAGGCCTGTGATTCTATGATCTCAACTTCCTGCCTGACCTGTAAGAGTTTGCTGGCTGGCTGCTGATGCTTCTCCTCTATCTCCTGGATGAGATCGTCAAGAGAGCACAGATCCTCCGTGT